TGGTAGGTCAACTCAAATGCAAACACCATGCTAACGTTGGTAGGTCAACTCACATGCAAACACCATGCTAACGTTAGCTCATGTATTTCTTCATAGATTAAGGACCTGAAATGGCTAATAATGTTAGCCAGGCTCCAGGATGTGCTCCTCAGTTCACATAGCATCCAAGGGAAATACGTTGGTGAAACTGAATGAAGAGTGCCACAGAAGGGTTACAGCATATATTGTGAAAAGGTTGCATCCCTTTTCAGATGTGGAATCACCAACATTTAGGTTAGTTATAACTAGGGCTGAGTACCGAACCGAGGTTCTTTTATGGCACCGACCGAACTGCACCGGTCGGTGTATGTATTGAAATGTCACTCTTTTTTCGGTGTCAAGTTTCGGTATTGGCTGTAATGTGTCACGTGGTTTCAGCATGCAGGCAGGTAAAACACAAGACATATGACGAAACAGACTACACCCAGAGCTGTATAGAGCTGCTGCACCTAATCTATGTATAAAGTATGTCTATGGTGCTGGTGACGCCCACAGATGGAGTTCACGTGTGCAGCGCGTGTGTTGTCGAACGGCTCCGACAACACACGCGCAGAAAGTTGCTCCGTGTTTCTCTGCAAGAAGGCAAGAAGCAGCCTCCCCCCCTCCTCCTCTCAGTGTTAGTCAGTCTCCATGTGTGTGTGAAACAGACTGAATCAACATTCCACAGCCGGACTCGTCTTCGTCAAAGAACTTCGAGGACGGTTCTGTGTCTGTTTCAGCTGGTGAGTTTAGGTTTGTTAACCTGACTGACTTGACTGAAAAATGTTGATTTTATACCTGGATTTTTGAGCATGGACTTTGTTACGTTTGTTAACGTTACTGCAGCTTAACACGTACATCGCGGTGAAATAACACTAACTTTAAGATATTAGTGTGTAAATTTATTTTATCTACATAGCTAGCTAAACTCAGAAACTAACTAAAGATTGACAGTAACAGATGAATCTTAGCTTGTAAAACTGCTCATCTATCCAGTCAGCTGCTTAAACAGTTCAGCTAATGTTCACCGTTTGTTTATGTTAATGTTCTCCTCACAGGAGGTTCTGACCCAGATGTGAGGACAAAAGAAAAACGAGGTGGGGGCTACAGGTCACAAACTTTGTTGTTAAAAGTTTGCTGCTTTTTCTACAGTGGAGCTGCATGGTGGAGGTAAGTTAAGCTGTAAAGGATGTTGTTAACCAGTTAAACTTTTATCTCTCAGCCTAGGTAATGTTTTTTGATCAATAAGAACACAACCATGTTATTGTTGATGTTTTGTTCTCATGTCAATTAGGGAGATGATCAGAGCCCTAAACCCCAGAGAACCACAGAGAAGATTCAGGCAGAGACACAGAGGTGCAGAAGTCTGTATCATCCCTAACCTCAGTGAATCCAGTGACCTGCTGGTGGGATGTGAGGGACAATATGTCAAACTGACAACCAGGTATCAGTGTGTGCAACAATCATCATCCACACCCTCAGAGTGAACATTTTCTACTGCTGGAGACACTATCAGCCAGGAGCATCTTGTTTGTGTCCACAGAAAACAGACATGTTGATTTTTCTGAAGAAAAACTGTTCAGTGAAAAAGGTCCTCAGTGTGCAGCAGTGAGCATTAGACACTGACGTGTCACTGGTTTGAAACTGGTCTTTTGAACTGGAAATTATTTGTTTGTTTTTATGTAAAAAAACTGCTTGGAATAGAAATACCAAAGTTAAAAAATAAAATTCACAATTTGTACTGTAATGTGTAACGTAATTTTATTCTTGTTAGAATTAATGTTAATTACAAAATTGGTACCGAAAAAAGAACCGTCCAGGAACCAACACCGAAGTGAAGGAACCGACACCGAAGTGAAGGTACCGACACAGATTTTTTTAGAACGGTACCCAGCCCTACTTGTGAAAGTGTACCCCTGTGGAAAGAAAACTCATAATATTTATATTAAAGTTCATCAATTTGATATTAATATACTGGTTGAAAATTGTCCTGTGAGAAATCCATAGTCAATTTAACAAAAAGTAAAAAGTTCATAGAATTAAAATTCAAATAGAAGTTCAAATTATTTCATCCAGAAAGAACTCTGGCTAGCTACTGTAGCTCATTTATAACATGACGGAGTTAAATTCAAAGCAGTCTGCTCTTCAGAAAAATAGTGTTAACTTATTATTTTTATATGAAAGTTTGTGTTCACTTGTTATTTTTATATTTGATTGTTTCTGTTTAGTTCCCCGAGACAACTTCTGTTGTGACTTGGCGCTATACAGTATAAATAAAATGAATTGAACTGAAATGTTGGCAGCACAGTGGCGCAACTGGTAGAGCTGCTGCCTCTCAGCGCGCAGGTCCCTGGTTCAAAATCCCAGTCCGGGGGCTTTTCTGGGTGGAGTTAGCATGTTCTCTCCATGCATGTGTGGGTTTTCTCCTGGTACTCCGGTTTCCTCCCACAGACCAAAAACATGCATGTTAGGCTGATTGGTAACTCTAAATTGTCCCTAAGTGTGAGTGAGAGAGAGAATGGTTGCTTGTCTCGTTTGTCTCTATGTGTCCCTGTGATGGACTTGCGACCTGTCCAGGGTGTCCCCCACCCCAGCGACCCAAAATGGAAGAAGCAGGTAAAAGATAATGGATGGACGGATGAACTGACGTGTCTTTTTTTAACCCCACCTCGAAAAAGAATCGGGAATCGATAGGAACCGGAATCAAAACGAAGAATCTGAATCGCTCAAATTCAAACGATGCCCAACCCTACTCATTATGCTTCATGACGCATCATAGTGGCTGTTTTACAACCAACTATCAGAGGTTCCACTAAGCTGTCCGAAGGATTAAAGCACTGTACTACTGTACTTTATATTCTGGTTATGAGGGAAGCTCTGCAGCAGTTTTCTCTTGTGCCCTGTAGACCTCACATCTGTCTTTTCTGGCTTTACACCATAAGGCACTGCAAATAATTAGGCATAATGCAGTAGTTTTGGTATTTTAACTGCTTGCTTCATTTTTTTTACTGCTGAATAAGGGTTAATGAAGCCACGTCCAGTTGAGATTCCTAACTGAACTGGCAACAGCTGTCCATGGTGACACTTTCCCAGCTCTCCACTGTGCACTCTCTCAGTGCACTGGTGTTAGTAATCAGGATAATGAGTTGTTTCAAGATATTTTTCCACAGGTTCCAACTTTCAAAGCATTAATTGCTGCATACAAAAGGCACCATGTTTACAGCTGACCACGTCTGTTCTCAGTGTGATAAAGCTGCTTGCAGCTCTTCATATCAGCTCAGAGATAGCTGCAGGTCTTTTAAATTTAGTCAAATTTAGAGTAACTTCTTGTTTTCAAAGCAAGGTCATTCCAAATCAGTGACATAGTATTGTATTAGCCACTAACAGCCTACTTCCATCATTGTACAGACAACATATAATGCTTGGTTTCCCCGTCCTTGAAGGAAAAAAAAAAAGAAGAAGAAACCTGAGAAAATCTATACCAATTACTGTGTTGACCGACTGTGGGTGATCAAATAGGTTTAGCTTATCACCCAACTCTACTAGATGAAAAGGTTTGTCATGTTATACTAACACGCTTCTTCTTCTGGCTTTCTGATTTCCCCTCTTCAGGGGTCTCCACAATGAGTCCTCCATCTCACTCTGTCCTCTGTCCTCACTCCAACTACCTCCATGTCCTCCCTAAGTGCATCCATATCTCCTCTTTGTCTTTTTCTTGGTAGCTGCATTTCTAACATCCTTCTACCAATATACCCACTGTCCCTCCTCTGGACATGTCCAAACCATCTCAGTGTGTCCTCTCTAACTTTATGTCCCAGTTGTTCAACCTGTGTTGTACCGCTGATGATCTCATTCCTAATCTTCTCCATCCTTGTCACTCCTAAGGAGAAAAAAGGTTTGTAAGCTCAGTCGTCCAGGTAGATAACAACAAAAAAGGTTAAATGTCATGTCATCTGGAGAACCTCAACATATTTATTTCTGCTACTTCCAGTTCTGTCTCCTGTCTTTTTGTCCATGTCTCTGTCTCCAGATCATACAACATAGCTGGTCTCACCACTGTCTTGTAAACGTTTCCTTTGACATTTGCTGACACCCTTTAGTCACAAATCACTCCTGAAACTATTCTCCATCCACTCCATCCTGCCTGGACTCTCTTCTTCACCTCTTTAGTTATACGCTATAGGAACCACAAAAATCAATTTAACTTTATTAAATTAAGATCATGTTAAAGATTAATTTTTAAAGTTTGTTTTCAAACCCAAAAATAAGATCACTCAGAAAAACAGATAAATTATCGAACTCTTCTATCAACCCATTCTTCTGCCAGTGTGGCATAACATCGTGCTCCAAGAGGAACACCCCCCACCCCACACCCCTCCAACACACACATACACACACATTCCTGTTAGTGAAGCTCCTCTGTAAGAAGCAGGGCAAAGAACAGTATCAGGCATTCAGAGGGAAAGCTGTTGGGGTTCCTTAAGAGCTACTGGTGAGGTCAGTATGAAGCCAAGTGTGGGAAGAAGATCAGGCAAGACAAAGCAACGTGAACCAACTTACCCTGTCTTTGGACTACACATGGAATGAGAAGATGATAAAAAACAAGAAAAAAGGAGGTGGGTTGGCAGAAAAACAAAAAGAATGAGCTGATGCCAATTCATGTAAGCAACACAGCATTTATGGTGTTTTTTGACAGTTTTCTTGCACAAAACGTTGAACATAAAGGAAAACGTGAAATCAGTTTGTATGCTGCTGTGATGAGACAGAGTTGGTGGTGGTATTCAGCGTGTGAAGCAGATTCAAACTGAATTACAAAAGCACTAAAGGACTGTGTCATCAGTAAACAATGTTTACCATTAAAGAAGTCTTGTATAGCAAATAGTTATATCATTTTTCAACTGTCTTCAAAATCTATATGCTTTCTGCAGACAGAAAGAACTAAAATGACTGTTATGTAATGTTAGGATCTAGAAGAAACTCACTTCTTTTGCAGCTTTCTGTTTTTCTCTGAAGGACCTCCAAGTGTGCCCACTCCTAGTCCATCCTTTGGAGAGCCCTCTGCCTCAGGAGTGCCAGCTAAAATAAATAGTACAGAGCCTTAATAAAGCAGAGCACACATAAAAGACTGGGAACACTTACAATGAGAAAAGCAGTCATGAGGAGAAAGGCCCAAAAGCCTCTGAACTTCATCACACTGCTCAATAAGGCTGGACTGGGCAGTGTACCCCTCACACCAGCCTACAGTGAGCTGGTGGACAACATCCTCACCACTGATGGTACAGCAACACTACACAAGTAGGCAGGAACGCTCTCCAGAGTCGTCAAAACAGATGGAAAAAAAACCTGAGGACTGACCTTCCATCCAAAGACTCAGCATACACACAGTGCTGTAAAAATAAAGCTACACACATCAATGACACACCTGCCCACTTTCTCCTTAAACACAAATACACAAAATACAATTTAAGTTGAAGCAGAGCAGACCACTTCAACACACAAAAGAGAAGATTTTATGACAGTGACTTCCCTGCCACAGGCACAACGATAGCCTTTGAAATTAGCCAGTGAAATTAAAAAGTCAAGTCAAAAAGAACACCCAAGGACGATTTTTATTTTATTTACCTTTTCAAGGCATATTAGACTGTCAAGTGTAATATCCACTTGCAGCTACATCTCCAAGCTGCTACAGTGCATCCAGAAAATATTCACAGAGATTCACTTTTTTTGTTATATTCAACCTTATTCCAAATGCTAACAAAGTTGTCAGGTCCTATGGACAGATTTTGTTGAAACATTTCATCTTTTATCCAAAAGACATTGTCAGACTGACAAATTCCTTCAGGAAGGATCTCTGGTAGTGGTCTGTCTTACAGCAGATCTGAAGAAGCCTCTCATTGAAGACACTGTTGTTGTATGACAGTCTGATGAAGAGGATGCTGAGGATTGTTTATAATGTTCTTCATTTTATGAAGACTCCTTCTTTGTACAATCATCTCCAAAGTTTCTAGAGGAGTCCACAGAACTGAGCCAGCCTTCTTTATGAGCTTGTTGATCTTTTTTAAGTCACTTGCTCTGGTGCTGCTCCCCCAGCAGATGATGGCAGAATAAATAGTGCTCTCTATAACAGACTTATAGAAGATATGCAGCATCTTGCTGAAAACACTGAAGGACTTCAGCTTCCTCAAGAAGTACAGTCTGTTCTGTCCCTTCTTGTAGATGCTTCACTGTTGCATTTCCAGTCCAGTCTGTTGTCCAGGTGAACCCCAGGGTATTTACACTTCTCCATCACCTCCACTTCTTCTCCCATGATGGAAATAGGGTTGGACCTGTTCCTATTTCTCCTGAAATCTACAGTCATCTCCTTTGGTCACATTCAAGATGAGATGATTGTTTCCACACCATGCCACAAAGTGGTCCACCAGTTCCCTGTACTCAGCTTCTTGTCCAACTCTGATACACCCGACCACTGCAGAGTCATCAGAATATTTCTGCAGATGACAGGAGTCTGTTTTATACTGGAAATCTGAGGTGTACAGAGTGAAAAGGAATGGTGAGAGTACAGTCCCCTGTGGTGCTCCTGAGCTACTGACCACCTGGTTAGACACACAACCCTTCAGTCTCACAAACTGTGGTCTGTCCGTCAGGTAGTCTTTGATCCAGGCGATTGTTGAGGCCTCCACCTGAGTCTTCTGGAGTTTCTGACAACGGAAATCAGGCTGGATTGTGTTAAATGCACTGGAGAAATCAAAGAACATGACTCTCACAGTGCTGTCTGCCTTTTCTAGATGACTGTGAGTTTGCTGAAGCAGGTGTATGATGGCATCTTCAACTCCAAGTCCACGTCGATAAGCAAACTGCAGTGGGTCCTGATACGTGCTTGTTTGTTTAGTCAGGTGGGTCAGCAGAAGTCTCTCTAGGACCTTCATGATGTGGGATGTCAGAGCAACAGGTCTATAGTCATTGAGGACTGATGGGTGAGTTTTCTTTGGTAGTGGAACAAGGAAGGATGTTTTCCACAACACTGGAACCTTCTCCTGGGTCAGGCTAAGGTTGAAGAGGTGCTGCAGAACCCCACAGAGATGCTCTGCACAGACCTTCAGGACTCTGGGACTGACACCATCTGGACCTGCAGCCTTATTCCGGTTCAGTCTCTCCAGCTGCTTCCTCACCTGACTTCTAGAGACACAAAGGGGGGAGGCAAAGGAGGCATCAGCATCTTTTGATTTGGTTGAAGACCAACATGTAGAAGAAGAAGGGTCCATGACTGAGGTGGTAGATACAATATTTGAGATGTGACATGACAGCCTTGAGTCAATGGAGGGTGGTATGTATGTTTAGCTGTGGGCAAGAGAGGAGGATGCTGAGCTTGTTCCTGAACTGAACCTATTGAAGAATGTGTTCAGTTCATTGGCTCTGTCCAGACTTCCATCCTTCTGATCCTCCTCCTGCTTGAAGCCTGTGATCTTTTTCATCCCTGACCACACCTCTCTGATATTGTTCTGTTGGAGCTTGCTCTCCAGCTTCTTCTTGTACACCTCCTTGGGGTTTCTTATCTTGACTTTTAGTTGCTTCTGTGTACTCCTCAATAATTCCCCGTCTCCCTCCCTGAAGGTTCTTTTTTTACTGGTTTAGCAGTTCCTTCAGGTCAGTGGTGATCCAGGGTTTGTTATTGGGGAAGCATCTCACTGTTCTGGTGGGGATGGTGTTGTTTACACACAAGTTTATATAGTCGGTCACACACTCCGTCATGGCACTGATGTCCTCGCCATGTGGCTGGCACAGTGCATCCCAGTCTGTAGCCTCAAAACAACCCCGCAGGGTTTCTTCAGCTTCCATTGACCATTTTCTCACTGTTCTCTTTATTACAGGTTGTCTCTGAACAAGGGGTTTATATTTTGAGCAGAGAAACACAAGATTGTGATCTGATTTGCCAAGAGGGGGTCTTGCTTTAGCTATGTATGAATCCTTGACATTTGCATAAATCAAGTCCAGCGTTTTGTTTTCTTTGGTAGAGTAGATGACAAACTGTTGGCATGTCGGAAGTGTAGCAGAGATTGAGACATGACTACATTTTTTATTTATTTTTTAAAAGCTCTGGAACTGCAGACAGCTACAGGCTGTAGCTTTTCAGAGTTTTGAACGGCTGTATTTTGAGCTAGGCTGATCCAACCCAACACTGTGCAGCGTGATCTACAGGCCACCCTCATACAACAAAAACTTCATAAGTGAAATTTCTGACTTTCTGTCTGGAATACTGCTCAATTACGACAGGGTCTTGATTCTGGGAGACTTTAATGTACATGTTTGCTGTCCTGACAAGCCTTTGGTGCAAGAGTTTCTAAATATGATACAATCTTTCAACCTTGTGCAAAATGTTGTTGGTCCAACTCATCAACAGGGCCATACACTTGATTTAGTTCTGTCTCACAGTTTATCTGAGGATAATCTGGAAATTAGGAATGCTATTGTTTCAGATCACAAACCCATTTCATTCAAAACCTCTGCTATTCATAAGTCTAAATCCCCCGCTCCAGCAAAGAGTTGTCGGATATTTAACTCTTCAACCGCTGCTCTTTTATCCTCTGCATTCATTACTGATGCTGCCTCAGTCCCTGAAACCTCTGCCTGTATTGGTACGCAGGAGCTGCTCTGTAGGCATGATGTGACCTGCTCTAAGATTTTAGACCTCGTGGCCCCACTAAAAATCAGGCGACCAAAGCGGGCACCACACCCCTGGTTGAACGCGACCACTCGTGCAGCCAAACATCTATATAGGAGAGCTGAACGCAAGTGGAAAAAGGACAAATTACAGATTTCTTTTATTATGTTAAAAACGTGTTTGAAAGATTATCAAAGCATCGTTAAATCTGAAAAGAACAAATACTTTAGGGCTGCAACAACGAATCGAGAAAATCGATAAAAATCAATGATTAAAAGCGTTGGCAACAAATTTCATTATCGATTCGTTGTGTCGCGCGATTATGCTTATATTTTTTTCTCTTTAATTTTACTCTCATTGATTGTTGTTGTTGTTAAGCACTTTGGTAACAGGTTCTGTTTTAAATGTGCTCTATAAATAAAGTTGACTTGACTTGACTTAAAATCACCAGATATTGCAACAAACGCACTAGGGTCTTGTGTACATAGCTTAGCAACCTCAGAGTTGATGACATCACACGCAGTCTCGGCAACAGCACTGGGTGGAATGTAAACAGTTGCCAAAATAACACTGGTGAACTCTCTTGGCAAATAATATGGACGATAACTTAGTGCTAACCGTTCAATATCTGGACTGCAGAGACGACACTTCACAGTAACATGTCCAGGATTACACCATCTGTTGTTCACAAGCACTGCCAACCCACCTCCTTTGCTTTTGCCACCCCTCTTTAAATCTCTATCCGCTCATATGGTCAGAAAGCCTGGCAGAGAAATGCTGGAGTCAGGGATATGATCCTGCAGCCATGTCTCAGTGAAACACATAACACTGCATTCATGATACTCTGGATGGGTCCTCGTTAGAGCTTGAAGTTCATCCAGTTTATTTCTCAGCGATCTCACATTGCCCATCATGATTGGAAGAGATGGTTTAAACTTCATTCTTCTCTCTTTCTCTCTCTTCTTTGCTCCTGCTCTGCATCCACGACGCCTCCTTTTCAACTCATTTGGGATTTGGGGCTGTAGTTGAGATATTATTAGCAGTATTGCCTTTTTTGTAGATGTGTAATCTAAAGTGTTTTTATAGCTTCCGTTGAATATTATGTCAGACTGGTGAACACTGCACCAGGGCTGCAACAACAAATCTATAAAATAGATAAAAATCGATGATTAAAAGTTTTGGCAACGAATTTCATTATCGATTTGTTGTGTAGCGCGATTATGCGTCTTTCACAGCACTGCAGAGCCGTTTTGTTCACCTGCAGTTCATTGTCAGTGCTGGCTGACTGAATAAAGTTTGGAAAAATAAACAATAACTCTGCAGCGCGAGTTGAACAGAGCGAGGGGGGAGGAGGAAGCAGAGCAGAGGCTGTTTTCAAAGGAAATTAAATACATTTTACAAAGGACCGACGCAGAGA